GGGAATGTTGAAATATTTGATTAACAATATTGGGATCAGTCTCCATCATTTCCCAAAATAGACCATTGACCTTTGGAATCAAGGAAATCAAGACCGGCACCTTTCAAGCCTTATTTTATGGTCTTTGCTAATTGCCAGYCATTCTTTTTAATGCCATTTATTGTATTTTCCTTATTTAGTCTTTTGTATAGGCTATATAATTATGTACGTAGGCTTGTTCATATATATAAGAAATACAAAGTTATTTAATTTCTCTTCCATTCCTCTAATTATCATGGTTAACAAGACGGACGGAAGTTCAATAGACCCAAACGCAAATTTCGTTGGAGGAAACACTTCCAAACCAAAATTTCAGAAGTTCAAGGGAAAAGGTATCGCTAAACCTTCTCCCTCAAACATGAAAAACCCTCTCCAAGCCCACAAAAAAGCCATTCAAAAGGCAAATGACTACTTGTTGGGTGTGTGGTCGTCCCGGGCACAAAGCACGGGATTGCCGTCTCAAGAGGGATCATCATGGAAGCGGAGGAGCCGGAAGCTCAAACCAAACCAACATGGCAGATTCTGAAACAAGGTTTGTAGGTGCGTTGAAGCGAACTTCGTGACAAACAAAGTGGATTGGTGGCTTGACACCGGTGCCACTAGGCACATATGCAACTCCAAGGATTTATTCTCTTCCTACGTCAAAGTCAACGATGGTGAACCGATGTTTATGGGGAACTCAACAACCGCAAAAGTGCAAGGAAAAGGGAAAGTGATATTGAAGCTAACATCGGGGAAAGAGCTTGAACTCACAAATGTGCTACATGTGCCGGATATGAGCAAGAATCTGATCTCGGGTCCTATGTTGAGCAACAAAGGATTTAAAATTGTATTCGAGTCAGATAAATTTGTAGTCACTAAGGGTGGGGTGTATGTGGGTAAGGGCTACCTGTCTGAGGGGCTCTTTAAGTTGTCCATTGTAAATATCACAAACAATGATGTAAATATGAATAAAATCGCAAGCTCTAGCGCTGCTTCTACTTATATGGTTGACTCCCCAAATTTGTGGCATGTTCGGTTAGGTCATGTCAATTTCCGATCCTTACAAAGGATGATGAATCTTGGCATGTTACCTAAGTGTTCAATGAACAAAATGACTAAGTGTGAGACTTGTGTAGAATCAAAATACTCAAGTCATCCCCACAAATCTGTCGAAAAATCTAACCAAGTGCTTGGTCTAATACATACCGATTTGTGTGATTTTAAGTCAACTCCAACTCGAGGGGGAAAGAACTATTATATCTCATTTATTGATGATTGCAGTAAGTTCTGTTATATTTATTTAATAAATACCAATGACGAGGCTTTAACCATGTTTAAAATTTATAAAGCCGAAGTTGAAAATCAACTTGAAAAGAGAATCAAAATTCTAAGGTCTGACCGAGGAGGAGAGTATGAATCTCATGACTTTGATGAATTTTGTTCCTTACACGGTATTGTACATCAAACGACGGCTCCTTATACCCCCTCAGCAAAATGGGGTAGCCGAGCGGAAAAACATAACTTTGAAGAATATGATCAACTCAATGTTGATCACTTCTGGGGCTCCTCAAAATCTATGGGGTGAAGCCTGTTTGACTGCAAACATGATCTTAAATAAGATTCCGCATAAGAAAAGTAGTCAATCTCCCTACGAACTATGGAAAGGCAAATTGCCTTCCTACAAAAGGATGAAAGTGTGGGGTTGCTTAGCCAAAGTACAAATACCTTTACCTAAAAGGACCAAATTAGGACCAAAGACTGTGGATTGCATCTATCTTCGCCCCGCCAAGAACGGTGCAGCCTATAGATTCTTGGTATTCAGATCCCAAGTAGAGGATATTCACACAAATACCATAATTGAATCTGCGGAAGTAGAATTCTTTGAAGACATATTCCCATATAAGGATAAGGAGAAAAGAATATCCAATCCAAGGAAAAAAGGGAATGAAGACGATGAACCTCATAATGAGTTAGACCAAAGTACTATTCAAATTGATGAAGGTACCTCTCAAGTTCAACATGATGGAGAACCTCAGAGAAGTAAACATGGAAAAGTGGCAAAAGACTTTGGACCAGACTATGTGACCTTTAATATAGAAGAAGAACCTCTAACTTATAAGACAGCTATGGACTATTCTAAAGCTCCTTATTGGAAAGAGGCAATCCAAAGCGAAATAGAATCCATTTTACAAAATAACACTTGGAAATTGGTAGATCTCCCTCTGGGACATAAACCAATTGGCCATAAATGGATTTTTAAGAGAAAGCTTAGACCTGACGGTACTATAGAAAAGTACAAGGCTTGTTTAGTAGCCAAAGGGTATCGTCAAAGAGAATGTCAAGATTTATTTGACACCTATTCGCCGGTGACTAGAATCACTTCCATTAGGACTTTGATTGTAATAGCAGCGATTCACAATATGGAAATTCACCAAATGGATGTGAAAACTGCTTTCCTGAATGACGAATTAGAGGAAGAAATCTACATGCAACAACCCGAAGGGTTTGTTGTTAAAGGTCAAGAACATAAAGTCTGTAAACTGGTTAAGTCCCTATACGGACTTAAACAAGCTCCAAAGCAATGGCACGAGAAGTTTGATAATACACTCTTATCACAAGGTTTCTATATCAATGAATGTGATAAATGTGTATATGTTAACAGTTTAAAAATGCTTATGTCATAATATGTCTATATGTGGATGATATGCTAATAATGGGGACTAATATGGATGTAATTAATCAAACCAAGAAAATGCTTCATTCTTCATTTGATATGAAGGATTTAGGACAAGTTGATGTTATTCTTGGTATCAAAGTTCAAAGAACTTCGGAAGGATACATCCTTACCCAATCTCATTATATAGAGACAGTCCTAAAGAAGTTTGGACACTTTGATGATAAACCGGTCGTTACTCCCTTTGATCCTTCAAGTCAACTTAAGAAGAATCAAGGAGATAGTGTTTCACAATTAGAGAACACTCAAGTTCTTGGGAGCCTAATGTATATCATGAACTGTACACGACCGGATTTAGCATATACTGTGAGTAGATTGAGTCGTTACTCCCACAATCCTGGTAAAGATCATTGGTATGCACTAGTTCGAGTGCTCCGATATCTTAAACATACAATATGTTATGGTTTGCATTACACTAAGTATCCCCCCGTGCTAGAAGGATACTATGATGCCAATTGGATTTCCAATCACTCGGAAGGTAAATCCACAAGTGGTTACGTGTTTACCCTTGGTGGTGCTTCAATATCTTGGAAATCATCTAAACAAACGGTGAATACACGTTCCACGATGGAAGCTGAGTTTGTCGCGTTGGACAAAGCGGCTGAAGAAGCCGAATGGCTCAAAAGCTTTCTAGAAGGTATTCCGTTATGGCCTAGGCCTGTGAAGCCATTAGTATACACTGTGATAGTATGGCTGCTCTGACTAGAGCAAAGAATCATATCTATAATGGCAAATCAAGGCATATAAGGCGACGTCACAATACAATAAAAGACTTGATGAAAAATGGAATAATTTCCATTGATTACATAAAGTCGAAGGAAAATATAGCAGATCCTTTGACAAAGGGCCTAAACAGAGAGCAAGTTATCTTTACATCGAGGGGAATGGGCTTAAAGCCAATACAATGAGTCGATACTTGGCGGAAACCTAACCTAGCAACATTGGAGATCCCATGGTCTAGGTTTAATAGGCAAACTAGTTGAGGAAGACTCAAGAAGAATCAAACACAAGGTATGCTTATTCCTATGATGTCCTCAATTGTGTTTTCCGTTGATGTTTAAGGGTTGAATTCATATTCTTAATAATGCTAATAGCTGATTTCAGTGGAGCGCTACGGAATGTTCTTGATTGGCATTACCTATGTGAGATCGATGTGTGGTCGCATCTATGAGAATAGAGATGGCTACGTTCTCTACAAATCTCATGAAGATAGGATATCATTCACGACCGAAATGAACAAAATTGTAAGAATCGATGTGTGTATAAGTATGATGTATGTGATACATTTTGTCTCGATTTACTATCAAATGTGGTTAGTTCAAGACTTCGTTCACTACCCATAAAGTAGATCCGAATTGTATTCATTACGGAAGGTTCAAGTCCAAAAGACATCTTTCCTGATGTACTTCATATTTAGTTCTTGGAATAGCAAATAAAATTCCTATGTTATCTTATTTTCTATTCAAATGTGGGGTATTTTAGGAGTTTGAATAGAAAATGTGGGGTATTGTTGGATTTTTCCCATTGGAATTGATCCCACATAGGAAGAAAGGGGGAAAAATGAATGGTTTATAAGGGTAAGATCATAAGCCTTATCAAAATCAACTAAAACCTTTGGATTGGGCTTTAGCTTGGGGTCTCGTGACCGTCATGGCTATAGCCGAACCGGACCAACCGACGCACTGTTTCCGAACAGTCGCTTCTGTTCGCGTGGGTGGTTTCTTAACCGCCAAAATAACTACCGGTGGGTGGTTTTTTAACCACTTTTAACCACCAAATAACTACCGAGGATATATATACATGCTATATTCCTTCATTCGAGAACACATTCATATTCCATACATTTTCCCTTTTCAATTGCATCTTCCCTCTCAAGAACACACTTCGATTCGATAGGGTTGAATTGACATGCATCAAATCAACCGGGTAGTTGTATCCTCTAGACGACGTCCGTACCGAGCACGATTGGGGACGAAATTTCATCTTAGAACACTGCAATTCGCAGGCCTCTACCCTATTATTCTTGTTCAATTCTACGTTCAATATCGAATAAGGTACACGATTTATAATTTTCAAGTATTTTGATCATTATTTTGTAGTTGTTTTCGTTATTTTGTGAATTATTGTCGATTAGTCCTAAGAATGTTACTATTAAACATGAATAATTAAAGGATTTTGAAGGGTATAAGTTTCACAAACAGCAAAATATCATATTTTTTTAATACTTTTTGAAACTTAAGACCACTTGAAAATGAATTCAAAACAATCATATATACAAATGTAGGACTTAAATGTATTTCATAAGAGGAAATGGTAATAACTTACAGATGGAGCAGCAAAGAATATGAAAATGCTCAAAAAACACACAAGGGCTAGTCCTTGCAATTTCAAACCTCAAATCATAGTGGCATTTATACTAAATTTGTCTGAACTGCATCTCTACATATAGAGGACGGAACAGGTGGTTCCAGAGTTGCATCATTACCTCTTGAAGAAGAACCTTCTTCCACCATTGGTAGCTGCCTGATCGGGCTTTGATATTCCTTCGTAAACCTGTTAGGACTAGGGCTAGATCGGAAACTTGAGTGTTCTCCTTCTCGAGGCAAAGGTGGTATAGCCTCTGGTTTTTTGTAAAACTTGTCCTCCACAATATCATAAAAGTTTCCAGTGCGGACCTCCTGAGCAAGGGAACACCAACAGCAGCATAGCCATAATGCACAATCGGTAACAGCAGGGTTGCCACAACAGAAATAAGATGGGGGCAAATTGAATCTCTTCCTCATCTGAATCCTCCAAAAGCCACCATAAAGTAAACCAAATACACACAGAAATATCCCTGTAATGCCCAATGCCTCCCTCACGGTCTCATTGTCAATATTGATGGCAGCCAAATTAAAAATCCAAAATGGTGCCAAACAGAAGAGAAGAAACGTTGCGATATGGACATACATGTTTCCAAACCCGAGTCTCTCCATATTCCACCCGAAAACACAAAAACTACAAAATAATGACAGATAGGCTAAAGAGATATCCTCCCAAAAATCAAATATACCTCCACTCCATTTTGGACTACTTTGCCTAGTTTTTGCCTCATCTTTTGATGCAAATGTGAATCGCCTTTCAAATGATTCAACTCTTTTTTGTCTTGGTCCACTACTGCTCTCAGGACTATATTTTTTTAATTGGGCTTCTTCATCAGAAGTGATATCATAGTCCTTCCCGAGGGGGCTAACAACAGTGTAAACACCAGCAATGGCAGGTGCACCAATTGCCACAGAAATAGTTAACGCGACCCCAATTGCCGGCCTCTCTGATCTCTTGTATCCTACATTGAGACCACATAAAGCATACTGTGCAAAACAATTAATGTTAAGCAGCAAAATAACTACCAGCATGTGTGCCCATTCATGAGGTTTATAACTTCCATTTTTGCAATATACTTTTCTCAACTTGGAAATATCTTCTGATCTCCATCTCAAGAGCAGTACAAGGTGATAAAGCCGATGAGGGTGCTGATACAAACACATGAGCGTAAATAGTGCATTGAGGATCTGGTTGTTGACTTCGAACCAAGCATTTCTCTGGGATTTTCTTGGAAGGGCATTGTTCAACATACCAGTCATCACAAGGAAGAGAATTGCTCCAGAGACAGCAACACAAATAATCCAGACCAAGAGAACCATATTCATTGGATTCTTTATCCATTCTTTAGCCATGTTTCGAAGGGACCCCCAATCAATTTTCCTAGAGAAGACCCTACATAAGCTTCCTCGAATGGTATTATCAGTGCAGGAAGGGATGCTGCGCGAGAACACATCCCTCTCCTTGGCAAGCCGCTGGAATTTTATAGATGGGGAGTCTAGCTTACCAAATCCAAAAAAGCTCGACATTTTTTCATTCAGAGTATTATGATTTCCATCAACTTGATTTTGGTTATCCTCGTCACTGAGAAGTCCCTTCTGAGGGGGTTTTATGTGTAGAGGAACAAAGGTTTTGGCTCTATATCCATTAGATTTTTCATCTTCAACTCCGTCTTTATCACTTGATATCATTATGTAGCGATCTCAATATTTTAACCTTTTAAATGCTGAAATACAGTTGATATCCAAGTTTCTTCGGTATAAAGATCAACTGTGGCAGCACCCTGCACATGCAAAGACAGGAAAGAGACACATGATCCTGAATCATTCTACATCCAAGCAAAATTAAGAGATAATTACTACTCAATGAATTGAAAGTTTGAAAGTGGGGACCATCTTGAACTAAATCATAATAGCTACAAGTTCTAAAGACGGACCCAAGAATTTTTGGATAAGGTGGCACCATATAAAACGGTTGCACCTTTCACGAACCTAATTTTTTTTACCTTACCACGGAGGAATAATACGGTGGCACGTGCCACCTAACCACCCCTCTAAGTCCTTCTATGAGTAAATACCTTTATTACATACAAATGTCACATGACTTCCAAAAATTTCATCTCCCAATTTTCATACGTATTCAACTGAAATTAATAGGGAACACCAATCTATTTTGTCTAGCAATTTGCGTTGCCTCATTTGAAACAATAAGTGTATTGCTTTTCGTTCTTTGCACGTGTAAATTTGAATATCTAGGTCTATTCATCAAGTTCCAGACGAAAAAAATGGATAACTGCATTACAGTTTACAACTTACATTAAAAAACACAATCAGACAAATAGTCATATCAATTTGTAGCAAATCTCATAATGAATCCCGAACTCAATAAAAAAATTTGCTTGAACCGAGCTATAAGACACCCATATTTCTTCACCATTCACTTACCATGCCTAAAATTACGAGCTGCTTCAATAGATCGACCAACCAAAAACTAAAGCTCAATACTATAGACAAGTTATACTGTCCTGAAACTAATTCAAATGCTTCAACAATTTCAACTCATCCAAATACCTAAACATACACACAACAAAAATAAGAGCAACAACATCTAGTAAAAACTTAGCTAGTAAATCGTCTTACATGGTGAATTTAACCGAATTCCGTACCTCAAATCAAAATTCTATATCTGTTTAACATGAAAAACTAGCAAAATTCACGACGCATGAACAAATCCTAAAAATCTAAAACTCATAAGAACGATTTTAGGAAGAAAATAAGGTACCTGTAGGAGAAGATTACTTGGAGTTCATGTTTTCACCTTCATCATACCATTGACCGAGTGAAAAAATGATAACTTATACGAAATGATGATCGCAAAGTTGAAAAGAAAACGAAGAACGGGTTTATTGACCATATTATTCTTTGTGTAACCTTCGAGAAGTCCTCCCAATGGCTGCCAACTGACCTGACCTGACCAAGGGGAACAGTTTGTTTGAATATTGTTTCATTTTACAAAGTTGACCCTCTTAGATTGTTGTATTGACATGTATAACCTCAAAATTGACATAATTGACACAAAGACCCCTTTATATTCTTATAACAATAACTTATGTACAATTAGCCCCTTCAGCTTTAATGATATGCTACTTCTAACATTTTCTTGAGAGGCATAATTTGCAAGTTCCAATATACATACACATACAAACTTATATTTAAGATTATATATAGATACATAATCCCAATAAGTCAGTACAAATTTAAGAATTAGTTTGCATGTGTTGTTTCACGTATGAAACAATACGTGTGAAAATACAATATTTATATATTGTTGTTTCATATGTGAAATGCTCAGAACTATTTTGTATGTGGAAAAAATGGTTCTGAATGTTCCACATATGAAACAATATTATATAAACACTATATTTTCACACGTGTTATTTCATATATAAAGAACACATGTAAATCGGTTTGTAAATTTGGCAGAATCATATTTCAAACTTGTCATCACTATACTGATATTTTGCTCATTCAGTTGTCGTTTTTTGCTTTAACAACCACAAGGGTGTTGCCTGATTGGTTTGAGTTTGGCTCCAAAGGTCAAAAGTACTTGGAGGTCCTAGGTTCAAATTCAAGGAGGAATAAAAATCCCCTTGTGGCCACGGAGATTCAAATGCGGTGACTCCGGGCTATCTGCAAAGCAGGTGGTCGTCCTGGGATTAGTCGGCTCGCATAGCAAGTTGAATATTCAGGTTAATAAAAAAAACATCTTGATTATAGAATTCATATATGATATCAAAATTGTGTCATGAATGCATCAATTATATACTAGAAGCGTACTCACACAATGCAACGAGATATATCTCGATTTTAATGTTTCATTTTATTTAATTTTCTCTATCGATATAATATGATTTTACGTGGTTTTAGAAAACAATAATATTTTTTATTTTGAACGAAATATAAATTTGAAAAAAAATGTATCGATATTAATATTAAATTAACTATTTAAAAGTTCTCATTTTCTGTGTAATTTCTTTAATTCAATTTTTTATTATAATTTAATTTATATTTAATAATAAAGTAATTTATTTTTGTTTAATAATATTAAGTATTCTGTTAAAATTCAATGATTATCCTAATTACATTTTAATTTTTATATTTAAAAATGATATGTTTATTCTGTATTTGATTATGTTTATCTGCAGTTAGTTACATGAATTAAAAAATAAAGCTTTAATAAGTTGTACTTACGTACAATCTACTTGCAATCTTGAGTTTTAAGTAATATGCATTAATAAACAGTACTTTACGCATAAAAAGTGGTTTTTAAGAGTTTTTGTCAAATGCTTTGTAATATAATATAGATATGCTATAAAGATTGCCTATAGAATTGAGATATAATTAATGGATCTTTAAATTGACATCACAAATTCAAGGGAACATAAGCACAATATTAACAAGCCTATGATGAGGCCCCATACCAGTCAATGAAAATGCAACAATGAATTAACAAATCATGTGGACATATATGTGTTTGGAACAATGGGATTCAAGTTCAAGTTAGATCATCCTCCTCCATCTCCTTGGCCTTCAGCATGTCCTTCACTCTTAACAAAAGGGTGGTCTTCCATGCATCCTGTGTTCACATTAAAATATACAAACCAATTTACAAATTAATCACTTTCGTGTAACCAAATCAAACGGACCCAGTAATGCCCAGTTTCGAAGTAGGATGTATGCAGATCTTGCCTCTTTCCCAAAGGGTAGAGTGACTGTTTATGTGAAGATCACTGTTATCAAAAGAAACAAGTGGGCAAGCTAAAAATGAATGTTTGCACACAAACAACTTGTATGGTAAACCAAAATGGATGTATGCAAACATGTCCTCTATCCCCAAAGAGGAGAGTCCGTAAAGTGTTCAGCCTAAACGATATTTGTCTACCCAAATTTATCGTACTTGGAACAATAAGTTAAGAATAATTAGCGACATTGGTTGATGTAAGAACCACGTATCATTTTCTCTTTTCATTTCCTAAACCTAAAATTGTGTGTGTGATTATCGATCCAACACATAATACGGGCCACAACATAAACCACGACGTTTTTTTTTAAATTCAAAGATGAAACTCGTAACTTCATAATAGAATGATTACAGAAAATCGTACCAGCTTAGTTATGCTATCAAACTCCTTGATTGCATCAGTAAACTTTTCAACATCTTCTTCATCAATTGAAGCAGCCAAATCCTGCCAGGATAACAAAAATCCCTGTCATTATGCAACAGTCCAAGACTCCAAAGTGCTAGAGGTAAATATATCAGGCTTCCAATTTTGTCCAAGAAACAATGCTTTAATTAAGCATTGTTGTCATGAAGAACGATTAATGGAACCAGGAATGGGGTCTACTTGACATGAAAAGAATAATCAAACAAAAGCAAGGATATGAAAAACAACACCACAAGAAATCTTCAATTGAAATGGTCTGAAAAGGTCATATATAAATTAGCTCATGTGGGGGCATTTGGTATACATTACAGCAAAACCCCCAACATACACCCATATGTCTGCATGAACAAGTTACTGATTCACCTACATTAACATAACCATCAAACATAAGCAATCAACCAAAGGGTTGTTGGCTACTTACTAGAGGTTAGGGGTTCAAGTCTCACCAAAAGTGAGAAGTGTGTGTGTGAGTATTTGATGTGTATAAATATTACAAATTTAAGAAAGCAATCAAAATTGAGATCATACGAGAACCTCATGGTAGTGACTTCATCAAGAAAAATAAAACCATGCAAAAAAGGAATTTGATACGAATTATTGCCAATGTTTTAACGATGCAACATACCGCCAGCAACCTGTATTCACGTGATCCTGCAAAAGTTGGGTCCAGGTCCTATGGGAGCAAAAACACATTCAGGTGATATTTCCAAACATGAAGGTAAAAAAATAAACTAAAAACTGCTCATCAGGATCCACTGCTTGACCTGATATTTGTCCAATGCGTTTGTAATTGCAACAACATCACCTTTACAGAGTTGGCAAATGCCAGCATTGAGTAGATGCCCTTTAACTCCATACTTAAGCAGATTATTGTTGATTGAGTGTCTTGCTATCTCTTCAAAGATCTCAATTGCTTTCTGATACCTGACAGACATTTTTTAGATGGTGGTGTCAGTATAACATAAGAGCATCCGCAATAGTCAAGTCTTTAAAAGACTTGATCTATTTGCCACATCAGATTTCCACTAAACAAAAACCATCTTCAAATACTTACTCCAGTGGTCAAGTCTTTCAAAAGCTTTTTTTTTGTATTTTTTATACACAATTACACATACATAAATCTTCAAAAACTTGACATCTCCCAAGCTTTTGGATGTCAAGCCATTCTTCAAGTTATTGCTCCAATGGTTAATCTTTTCATTAAGTGGTTCTCAACCTTTTCATCAAGTCTTTATTTTTACCATTGGAGATGCTCCAATATGGGCATTGAATATGTGGAGATAAGACCATATGGGCTTGAGATTGTAATATCTAAGATAGTTAAAGCATGCGTACTGTTGTAGTTCAGCAGCAAATTGTGCAATTTTCAGCCTGCACTGATTTGCAGAACTGCTCACTTCTTCACCTTGAAAGAGATCAGACGCTTTATCATAGTAAACCATAGCTTGCTCCAAGTTTTGTTCTTGTTCATATAACTCAGCGATTTCCTGCACAAGAAGGAAATCACAGCCCACTCAACTTATCATTTGCATACATCATCAGTCTATGCAATGATCTGGGTGCAACCCATAACAGCACCACCTGTATAAGACTCTAAATCGTTATACCTAGTTGTTAAGATTCACTTTGGTAGTCCTAAAAGCGCACAAAAATTCATCACTGCATTATCTAATGTTTACTCTTTAATTTTGAGCTCCGGAAATATCATAACGGGTTTTCTTCCAATTTCCCACCTCGAAGAAACTTCCTGAATAAGCCCAGAACTTTAGAATCTATTGCCTTTATGGGAAATTTACATGTAAAAGGTTCATATACATTAAAACCTCAGTTAAATATCTCTGTTCTCATTTCTAGTTTCATGACATTGGCATCAAAAAACTTTTTACTTCTATGAGTATATGGTGCAACCTCAAGCAACAATGTTGTCTTATCATTCGAGGTTTTTAATTTATTCCACTTCATGTTAGTTGAATTCAATGGAGAGCTAAGATAAAATTTCATTATTTGATACAGTATAGCAGCTCATATTCTAATGAAAGATGAAGTGAACAAGCCTATGGTTAAAACTTGACAAAGGAACAAGAACTAAATTATGAAAGAAAATCAATCTATCAACCACCACATTAAGACTTCTGTCTCAGAGACAAAGAGATCCAAGAGTTGTACCTTGCAGTACTTTGCGGACATGCCGAGTCTCCCAATTTCCATGAATAGATTTAATGCTTGCTCTAGGCAAGATATGCACTCTGCAATATACCCGAAAATATGAAGACAAGCTTCTTTTAATTGTAAATGCATGTAGTCATATGAAAGCATTCAAGTAGATACCAACTCCTATCATATGGTAACCACAAGGGTGGTGCCTGATTGGTTTGAGCTTGGCTCCAAAGGTCAAAAGTGTCGGGAGGTCCCAGGTACAAATCCAAGGAGGAACAAAAATCCCCTTGTGGCCACGGAGATTCAAATGCGGTGACTCCGGGCTACCTGCTTTGCAGGTGGTTGCCCTGGGATTAGTCGGCTCGCAAAGCGGGTTGGATATCCAGGTTAATAAAAAAAAAACTCCTATCGTATGGCTTAACCATAGTTGCAGTGTTCCCCTCCTCTACTGCACAACTATCAGCAACATTAAAAAGTAAGTAAGTAGGGAATGTTGATTGCTACCACTTGGGAGCTCTTTTTCTTTCTTTTTCCCATCAGGTAAATTGTTGTCGAGCAAAAGGTGAAGAGTCATACTTACCTAACGTATATCAAGATCACTTACGCTAAGAAGGAAAAAAGAAGAAAAGACCATGCACATGTTCTTGCAATTTTTTACAAATTTTACAAGCTATCAAAAAAAGCCATGCAGTATGTCATTAGGCATGCATGCATGTTAAGTCTCCCCCTAGAGTAACTTTAACTTTTCACATGGAACGTGGGCCAACTATCAAACCCATATAAGTTGAAAAAAAGTTCTAAAATTTGCCAAACATGTAACAAGATTTTCTAACCATTCATTTTCCTGTTCTGTTATACTCAGTAACTAGGTAAGGTACTGCAAGGGAATCAAATGATTGTAGGTGCTATAAATACAGATGCCAAATCATACTACATTTGGCTACAATTCCGCTATAGCCCAACAAGTTACATTAGAGCAACATGCAAGCTGGGACATTGTTAATTCCCACCATCTTTTCATGAGCATAAGAAGAACCTATATGACAGTTGTAAAGATGGGCACCTGTAGTGTTTGTTTTCTTATAGCAATGGCCTGCATCAGCAAAAGCATTAGCAGCTTCATGTTTGCTATCCAACTGTAAACAAGAAGGAATTATCAATATAGGATTCTAGTAAATGAATGAGATTGGCGATCACTGTGCTCAAGCACTTACCTTCAAATAGCAATCAGCCAATTTCATGTATACTGCCCCAGCTTGATCCCCTGGGAAACGTGTGTTACATTAACGAAAAAATATTGCTCTTTAACAAACCCTCAAGTTTGTATGTCCACGTGCCATCCAATTATCAAGCAAACACAAGTTTGAGGTCTAAAATTTGACACCCACATGACGTACTCTCGCCAAATAGTCTACACATAACCGAAATTCAATGGAATTTGTCGCAAATTTGACAAAATCATCAACGTATTCGCAGTAGTCATTATAAATTCTGATGCGGTCCAAAAATTTCTCTGAAAGCTTAAAACCTATATCAATTTTGAAGCTGAATAGAAACACATTTGACATTGAGAACTAAAACGGAGCAGTTTCGGTGGAACGAAGAGACCAAATGAACATTAGATTGAAGAAAACAGACCTTGTAAACTTCTCAAGGAAATGAGATAATTTAATCAAACAGTAACACTTCAATGCCCTTGTTCCATAAACAATTTTCCACAAGATTTTTGAAATTACAACTCACAAAACAAAAGCATTGTAACATGGAAAACGACCATCAAGGATGCCAATGCATCACATTGAAAAACCTCAATCTCTCAACGAAAATGTCAACATCAGATCAATAAAAAATTAGATCCCACAAACCCTAATGAACATAAATAATTCAGATATATTCTAATATACAACAACATAATATTTCCAAAACACAATCAAAGTCGTTCCAATTAGATTGTTTGTAGGTGAGGTCATTGATCACATACAAGATTTTCCGATTTTATAAAAATTGGCAGCTTTTTCATATAAATCGGCGGCATCTTCATGCTTGGAACCAAAGATTTTCCAGCCATTAAGCTTCTTCTCTGCTTGCTTCTCGAATTCTTCACCTTTCGCTATTTGATCAGACATCCTCTTCGTCTCTCTATTCCCAGGAAGAGACAGGGGAGGGGTGGGAATAGGAAAGCGTAAAATGAGGGTGTAAAATGGTAGTTTTGATATTACTAAACTAGTCCTTCTAATAAATTTACCCTTTTTCCCTTCAACAATTTAGACTTGACAAAAGTAGCCATCACAAAATTGTTGGAAACTTGAGGATTTCAAATCTGTCTTTTAAGGGTGTGTTTGGTACGTGGAACATGGTGGAACAGGACAGAACAGAACACAATTGTCCTATGTTTGGTATGGCTTTATCTGGGACTAACTAGAACTAACTAGAACAAAAGTGGAACACGGGAGTCCTACCTCTACCCYTGGAACTAACTAGAACAAGGAATTTCTTACCACTTTACCCTCAATCCCTTCCACCGTCTCCTTCATCCCCTTCCACCGTCTCCTTCATCTTCATCCCCT